ATTTGTTTGCAGCATTTGTGCGAGAAGCGTAAGCGACAGCAATTATCTATTATCCAACTTGTTACTACTAAAAAAAGGCTTTCCGTTACAACCGCTTGCACAAGCGTGCCTTCATGTTGCTCCTGCTCGTAAAAATAGGAGATGAGCTCACCTGTGCGTATCTATTCGTTTCTCGGGCAAAATATGATGTAGACGATCCTGGCTTTTTTCCAATCACTTGTAGTTTGATAAGAACCATAAACATGAACGCTATTATAATAATGCCAAGTGCCTGAAACATGGGATTAATATTGGACTTTCGAATCACACGATAGAACTTGCCATGTTGCTAGTGCCCCAGTAATAAAGGAACTGTTCGCTAACAAAGCAGCCAACTGATCCACAGTTAGGGCTTTCTTTGAAAGGTGAGAGGGCAAATTCTAACAGTAGATCTGTGCAGGCCAATAAAATTCCTAATAACAACGAAGTAATGGCGTACCATGCTGAAGAAACATTACGATAGTAGATAGGACTATATAAAGCCTAGAACAGCTTTGATTAGCTTTGAGACAACCGTCAGTACTTTGCTTACCAGCGCTCTTTGTAATGCTACTGCTGCCGTCAAAGTCAGCTTGATTTTCAACTGAATGGTTAAAGGAATGCTAGAAACCATCATAAAGTAAGGATTGAGGTTTATAGGAAAAGTGACACAAAAGATGGTCATGTAGATTGTATAAGGTAGAGCTGAAAATGATAGAGAGCAACTTGAAATTACGAAAATCTAGCAAGAGAAATATCAAAGTCTATTATAGATGAAACTTCTATATTAAACTAGCTTACTAGTGAGAGCGTGTAAAATGTCGGTAATAGCCATCAACAACATCAGCCGGTGCGCTGTGCTTCGGTATAGTTGCTTCGACCTGAGAAAGCTTATATTATCTGACTGCCACCAATTCTCTTTTAGCAGATACTCACTTGAGAAACATGAGCAGTATGAGACCATCACAGGTGATAACAGCAAACTGTAGCAAAAGAATAATACAGTCTATGATGAGGTAGGACATACTTGCTTTTTTGTTTTTCCGTGAGGTTTTTTCAATTCGATGAAACGAGCTGTAAACGCGGAAATAGTAAGAAACGAAGGTAAGATAGATAAAGAAAAATGCGGGCATCATGCAATGATTCTGATCAGTTACTGAGCTGGATCCATGTAAGAGTGCTAAAGATAATCCCTCTTTTGAAGATGGAAGATGAGCGCTGATTTGAAAAGACAAATTGCTCTACATGTATCTACGGACCTGACAGTAAATCAACGCAATTTCTATCGCATTACATCACACCAGTAATTATTTTACGTGTAATAAGTGGTTAACAGAATATATTGATCTCTGAATGCCTGCGTCTAGACTTTATTCTAAATAAGAGGTCTAACGCAACGCTGAAACACATAGGTCGAGTTTTGTTATTCCCGTAAGAGGAAGTTCCAATCCTATGCAAATAACAAGCTTGAGGAGGATCGCTGGAAAGAGCAAAATCCATTTGCACGTGCGAATACTCGCTATGTTTCTTTCAGTGCAGAAGCTAGTATTCAATGCTTGTTTCTTATATTTCACTCCCCCAAAGGCCCAACACTAACTACGATAGAACTGTAAGGCAACAAAATATTCTACTTTTTGTCGTTAGCTTGACGTAACAACACTGAAGAATGCCCAAAGGGTCTGCTTGCCTTTCATATCTGTTCGAAATGGAATGAGGTTGCAATCTACCTGAAGTTACACATGATCGAAGTTTGGGGTACGAGCTTAAAACAGTGACTATTTGTACATTTTCGAAACGGTTACGACAACAAGCCATTTGAAGCATGAGGAAATCAAAGGTGAGATGCAGTCAACACTATTTGAAGCTTGTGTTCATTTCCATTCTATATGACTGGACATGATCAAAGTGCCACAAATTTTTGTACCGTCTTAATACGTCGAATTCGCCCTTACGGTCATCTCTTAGAATAACTCAATAACCGCTACCGTAAAAAGTGAAGGATGAAGGATAGTGATAGGATGAAAATCTCGTAAAAGTGTCACAGTGGTCATCGCCTGATTTTTGAGCAAGAATTGCTCCAGGGAATTGAACTAATTAGCTATTTATTAAAACCTCAATCAAAAGCAGACAAGGCGACTGATAAATAACAGTGTCCGAAAGAATGCAATACGTCAGGCGTTGGCCGTCGACATGAAAGTTCTGACTTGCGTAGCTGCTTTGGTGATGATGAAACCCTTGAGTAGCGTTCTCAGATCACGATTCGATGTCATATGGACAACGGCATTGCTAGTTGCTAAAATAAAAACTTTGAGCGTTCTGAAGTAAGCTTTTTAACCAAAGCCTTACCTGCGCAAAAAAGACCAACAATGTAGGATGGGCCAACTCTTCTAAAAATGGAGTAACCAAATAGTTCCATGAGTCCAGCACATACGCTCGGTAACGTCAGAAAAAATATAGTAGTAAGCAGAATTCCTGCAGACGTGCGACTTGCCTGAAATGAACGGTCAGAGAATGAGCCAACAATATATGGTAGTACACATCATTTGAGCTTATATCTACGATTCTTTTGTACTATCAATTCCAAGTCAGATTCAGGGTTGAGCAAAAGGTCAGGCGCAAGT